GGGGCCGAAGTGCTTGAGGCGGTTGGAAGACTTGGTGTGCAAGCCAAGATATTTAGTTCCCTTATTCCATTATGATATCTAGGTTGGTTAGGATACTTAATATTTTATTGCTTTCTTAGAGTTATAGATATATTAGGATTAGATCTATTTGGTGCCTATATAAAAGACCATCCCCCATGTTATTTTTCATCATTCAAGACATCAATAGAAATCTAGAACTTTGTTCTTCCAACTTTGCTTTAGTCTTTTCACCAGAATACTATTGCAATTTTATCGTTCCAAGAGGCGCTGTTGTGGCTCGAAGAACACTATCGGCGATTCAAGGCGCGGGTTAGCGGCTTATCGGCAGTCGAAACACACGATCTCATCAAACCGCACCTGCACACGAGGGAGATATTTTTATCTTCTCTCTTTTATCTAGTACTTATTTTTATTAGTATGTTAGGCTAGTTTTTCTATCCAGTTTTAGGGGATGTTTGAAACCCTAACTTCGATTTGTCTATGAATTGAAGGATCTTTATTTATCGTGGATTAATCCATCTAGACGACGTATTTATTTTGTTGATGAGTTGATTCATGTTATCTGTGTATAATGTTTATAAATTATGGTGTTTGATTTAGTTTGGCCAACTAGGTTGAATATTAATAGTTTAATTGCTAGATTTGGGACTTTAATCTGTAATTGTTATTGTCTCATTTCGTTAGTAATAAACTAGGGGTCGTGCATCTTTAGGGTAGTATGAACATAAGTTAAATAGTCCGATTTTTTGTGTCCATTGCTTAGACTGATCTATTTTCCTAGAAATAGTGCATTAAATCTGGAGAGCTTATTCTAGGTTGTCCACTAGTTAAGTTTAGTCGAAGAGCTTATTTCGATTAAATAATCGGTAAGGGAAAATTCGGTTAACAGAGCTTTTGTTAACTAGGGTTGGTAATTCGCTAGCGATTTAGAAAAAGCGTCGAAATTAATTAACGGTAGATTGAGATTGGGTGATAACTGAACGAAAACTGGACTTCTCTCATTTTATTTGATTTTTATTTTATTTTCTTTTGTTATTTTATAAAACCAAACCTCCCATTTTACTGCTTTATTAGTTTTAGTTCGATTAATACGAAATTTGTCACGATTTAATTCCTGCTCCTCGTGGGATCGACTCTTACTCGCCGCTACTACTAGTTAGTAGAGGTTAGTCGAGGAAAATTTATAAATTTAAATTTGTCGCGTCGCGACGCACGGTCAATATAGGACTTGAAAATGAATAAAAATATCTCTTTATAATTAATTCAAATTTTAAATTTTAAAATACAGTAAAGGTATAATAGGTTTTTAGCAAGTACGAGGGGTACAAGACAAGGTACAAGGCTACTAAAATTCTTTTTTATCTTGTACCCTTTAATCTACTATTGATTTCTATTTTTTAGTCAATCTAATAGTGAAATAAAGGGGTACCTGATGTTAAGTAGGTACAAGATATACCTGACGCTAGACGGTCCCTACTTAGTTTTATGAGGTAAAATTAGTTTCTCGTACGAAATACGTGTGTTGAGCTCCATTCTAAAAATGCTAACTTTTGTTTTTATCTTACTTATTGATTGCTTTCTGGCAATTGGTTAAATAAAGTTGGAATCTTTTGAGAGAAAAATGGGGACTTTGGTCAAAAGTTGGTTATTTAGAAATTATTTGTTCCGCTCTAGTTCTCATTGTGTGAGATATGGGTTGTTTTTCTTTGTTTGAGTCTGTTCTCGGGTTGAGTACTCGGGTACAAGTGAAGTCTGAGCTTTCTTCCAAATCTCTCATATTTTCTTAATTCCTTTTCATCAAGTGTGATATGGTCCGAGATCGGTGGCTCCGGTCTTACGGAAGGTTCTTCCCGGTTATGGCGTGATTCGCTTGATTCGGTCCGGTCCGAGCTTGCGTGTTCTCCGATACCTGAAAGCGCACCGGAATTTCTTCGGCGCAAACCCTCCGACGCCCAAGTTAGGATCTCGGATTTTTAGAGAGAATTCTATGTAATAAATGTTGCAGTAATGAATTTAATGAAGTCTTCCCTTTTGCTCTAGAATTTATCGTATATATAGTGTTTAGTTGTACGGAATACGCCGTAATCGGCACTGCCAAGGGTCAAGCCCAAGTTGGTGTCCGACCCCCGTCTCATGGGTCGACTTCTTACTGGTCGGCACCTCGGGGGTCGACCTTAATTACACGGTTCGACTCTCTCGCGGGTCGACTTGGCCTAATACCATGCATTCTTACTATCTCGACCGTTAGCCTCAACGGGTCGAGACCCTTAATGGGTTGGTGGGTCGAGGCCTTTACACAAGTCGACGGGTCGAGACCCTTGCATGGGTCGACCCTATGCCTTGGCTCGAATACAGGGCCCGACTCGACCCCTGGCCCTTTGAGCAGGTCCTCGCTTATATCCATTTAGTTAAAGTGGGTCGACCTCTGAGCCATGTGCGAGCACTCTTTCGGTCGATGGCCGGTCGACCTCTCGGTTCTGTGCGTCTAATATCTCTATCCCTATCAAAGTGCTTAGTTTAATTTAGTACAATAAATCAACCGCTCAATCGTGCTTAGAATGTCTAGGATTTTATTTTTCTTTTTTGTGCTTTCGACAACTAACGAGTGAACGAAGTTCAGAATAATCTTCCTTTGAGAGATAATCAGAGTGAGATCATTCGATCATACTTGGCTAAAAACAACTAAACACCCATTCCATATCATCAAATCGATGTATTAATCTAAAATTTTTAGTTACTTTGAGAATTATGAATCATAAATTTAATTTTCTCATTCATTATAAGACAATGCAAATTTACATTTTTCCTTAATAAATCGGTGGCCATAAAAAAACTCCCAGCTTTTTGCATCAAAACAAATCATCTCTACCAAGCAAAGTAACAAATGTACTTTTACTTTTGCATTTTACTTTTTGTTTGATCTTCTAATCTACATAATAATAATAATAATTAGCTAGGTACCTATACCCTTCTAACAAATGTACCAAATATCATACGATTGAGAACTCTAATTGAGAACTCAAGTGTCCACACATGCAAGTACCCATTTTATCATACGAGAAATTAAAACAAAATTAAGAAGAAAACACCGAATGGAAAGCGCGAGATGAAGCTTGAGAATAAATCAGAAAACTAGGGCACATGAAAAAAAAAAAAAAGGAAAAGTCGTTATTTATTACATTAAGCAAGTACATTCTTTATTTATTTTCACCGGAAATTTATTAAAGGTTACACATTACACCCTCGTTCATTTAAAAGATCTTAGTGAAGGACACGAGCTGTTTGCTGCCCGTCCCTGCATGGACCCAGACGACTGCTTCGTACTTCCCCACAACACATTCACCAGAGGTATTAATGGTGGTATTGACAACCAAATGGTACTGAACTCCCGAGACCACCTTTTTGCTGCCGCCGATCAAGTTTTGGAATTCCAGAGTCAGATTTTTCTCTCTGTTATATTCGTCCACCGAGAATTTTGCATCTACAACCACATCGGGATTCTTGAGATCGGCCGGTGTGAGACGAGTCGTGCCGCCCGGCAGGGAGGCTACATTGGGAACGAAAAACAACATACTCAACAAGATCAATGGAAATACGAAATAGTGAGATTTTAGGGGCATATTTTCTTTCATTTCTTTTACTTATTTTTTTTTTATTTTTTTTTATGTATATGGTGTGGGGGTAATATGTTATTTATAGTAACAAAAAATTTGAAAAGCCAAGGCGGTTTTGGCGAAGGGTCGCAAACTAGCGGCACACATAATTCATGTAATCTACTGTTACTTTCGTCGTGTTAAAATAAAAATAAACTTTTATTTTATTAAGTAAAAAATGTTAAAGATATTAACAAAATGGAATCATTCAAAAACGGAATAATTGCAAACTTAAAATGTATTTTATAGCAGCGATGGGCTCATGGTTCTCAAATAGAGGCGACAAAATTATAGATACAAATTATCAAAGACAAATATATTGATGTATAAATTCACCACCATTAAACATGTACCTTTCGTCTATATGGTTCTTGTTTGGAGTAATTTGTTGATAGATGGTAACCGAGCTACCCGACTCGGGTCGTTCTCAAAGCAAGGTTATTCGGAGCTTCATTCACTACCTAAGCGTCTAAATCAAGTAATTGAAAACAAGGTCCTAAACATGCTACTCGCTTGATTGTGATGATTTCCACAAAATTTAGCTAAGAGATTAAGAGCAAAAGGTGAAGGATGATAGATTTGAAAGAAAGATCGAAAACTTGATTGCGCGGAGTTTCCATCAAGAAAAACGAAAATAAACAAAAGAAAACATGCGAGCGAAGTGATCTTAAGGTAATCCAACACGAGCTTTCTACACTAAATCATCACACTTTGAGCAAATTCGAGTCCTTTATACAAGATAAGCACATATCGAATTCCTAACACATGTAAGCAAGTAATGAAAATAAAGCAAAGACCTAGAATCGAGCATAAACACGTAATTTGAAAACAAACTCGAAATAGTAAGCCATAAGAAAGGTACTTACACTCCTATCGCATGCCCAAACAAAAATAGCGCGTAAAACTCGACTCTTGGTTAAAAATGAAATCGTCGTAATTTTGTCAGAAAATTGAGCTTTTAACCTTCAAACAAAAGCATAAACCTAAAAAAGAGAAAATAGAGAGGATTTCCCAACTTAAAAGTTGGGGAAGAGGGGTTGTTGCCAAAATACAAAGCACAATGTCTATTTATAGCGACACCACAAACACACACTAAAAACACACATATTTAATGAAATTCTTCAGCTTGCGAGTCTTGAAATCGGTTTCGTAGAGTGTGGCATTATTTGGTGCTGGGTAGGTGCGTTCGCCGGTCGCGAAATCAGTTTCGCTGCGAGTGCTCGTGTCCTCTAATGGCTCTCTCGGATTCTCGCGAACCCAGTTTCGCAGCGAGTGCCCGCATCATGGCAATGCCTCATAATGATCTCTTTCTCTCGGTAGCTCGGATGACTCGATAAAATGGCTCGAACATGGTTCAGACGGCTAGGAATGTCTCTGAAATAACTCGTTTTCCCAAACTCGAATAATGTGGACCTAAACAACATAAAAAAGACAAGAAAAGTACGGCAAAACACAAAAACACACAAAGAAATAAAATGCACAAAATACGATAAAATGGATGGGTCGACACTAAAACGAACCTAAAAACGGCTCGACTAAATTACATAAAACACAATAAAACACCACAAAAATATAACAAACAATTCTATATGGTTTTAGTTAAAATATTAGGTATAAATTCACCACACTAACATGTATTTTTGTCTATATGGTTCTAGTTAAAATATTGGTGATCGTGAAAAAAAAAATATATATTGTCACTAATTCTTTTTAAGCATTGCAAATAATAAAATTGCAGCAAAGAATAAAGTTGAGACAAATAACAAAGTCAAAAAAATAAATTTTCGCAACTATATCTTAAAAAAATGTTTGTTACTAATTCTTTATTTTTATAACTTGCTTGTTAAAAAAATGTTTCGATTTGAAAAATGGGGAAAAATTAAAGTGGAAATGGGACAAATATGTAAATCCTATACTATTAATTAACTAAAAATTCTAAAACTTTGAGGGGAAATGTTACTCCAAAGAGTACTCTACATGTAGGTTGGGCTGAGCACCTGTCTTAGATATTGCCGAACTGTTCAGAAAATCGAACTGCATTCACTTTGAATCGAAAATTACCCGTTGCCCGTTTGACTATCTCTGAACCGAACTGTACCTATTTTTTTTTTTTTGGGTACGGTTATGGAGATTCATAAAATGTCCATACCGAGAACCAAACCGGACATTAGCGAAAATAACTGTGCTGAACCGAGGAACCGAACAACAACCGATTCCAATTCATAAAATACAAATACATTATATTTTATAAAATCCGTATGTATATATAATTTTATCATATGTATTTTTTTTCATCTTTGTACATAATTGTATTT